CACCAGTCCTAGTAATGGCCTGTCAAAATCATTCGGCTCCTAGCAGAAGATACCCCCTCTGTTATACACTAACCCTCAGTTTAACACCATGTTAAGCTACAAATGAACTTTTATTTCTGAAAGCATATCGCAAACCATATAACCAATCAAAGAAATCAACTACGATGCTCAAGAGAAATCCCAAAGAACTGATCAAGGTAAAACACAGCAGAAAGAAAACACCACCTGACTTACTATCACTTCAGAACAAAGACAATATCATTCAATATCAATCCATTTTATCATTTTTCATAATCGGTAATATCTGTATACTATGTACTTAATAATTATGAAGTAATATATAGTAAATACAATAGTATATATTAATAATAGAAGTGCATATCTAAATTATATAGCAAAAGATTTAAGAGCAGAGCACTGGAAAGATAACTCATTGCATCTGTAACAAGGGAAAACAAGGATTGGCTCACATTGTTGGCAATGTAACATCTTTTAAAACACTTTTGTTGCAGGATGTATCTGAAGGCCTGCATGTATGATTCAGAAATGTCTGACACACTGCTGGTGTTTCTGAGTTTATGTAATGGCTTTAGATGAATGTTTGTGTGGCACATATGAGAAATGCTTGTTTGAATGAGTCTAAAATGTTTCTGTTAATACATTTAAGGCTACATTCTAATTTATGTGCAACCCTTACAAAAAAGAAAGAAAAAATCCTTGAACAACTACAATATCGTCAGAAAACTGCTGTCAAACCAAGTGTGAAATGTATCCCAGTCCCATAAGTCGAAACACACACTCGTATGTACACAAGCAGCTTGTTTGGGGTGTATCGGTGGAGTTTTGCGGTATTTGCATGTCTGTCTGTGTATTTGTTGGTGGAATATGGGCTGTGGGAGGCAGTTTGACTCTGACCAGGACCTTCTCATCTATCAACGTCCCCATCTGTCTTACATGTCTCCCCCCCCTACCCTTACGACGGGCAAAGCCCTCACCCGCCCACCCTCACCCCTCTTCAGAAAATGGCTTCTTTGGAAGGTCTCTGATGTTAATGAGTCGTCCAGGACTTAGTCTCGCAGCTGTAAACAGAGAGCTGACGAGGTTAGTGGTTTGTTTATACACTGTTGTCACCCACTTGAAGGATGGCCTCTGTCCCAAGCAAGTAGGGAGCTTCCAGGCCTCATCATGAGTCCCCTCTCAGGCCCTGACACAGTGGCCCTGCCCCAGGGGGTTTCACTCCCACTTCTCCAACTGTAGTCCCTGCTTTCTTACATCTCAGACTATCGTGAATAAATGGAATGTGCATCAAAGCCCTGTACCCGGGAGGGGGCTGATATTCACAGGGCGGGTGCGGGCAAGATTTGTGAGTGGGGATTGGGTTCGCGAGGTGGAGAAGAGAGGGAGTGTGTGTGGGGTGTGTTTTGTGCAGATGTGTGTGTTATTGCTCTGTGTGTGTAGTGTGCGTAGCATTCGAACACCCCAGACAGCGGCCAACGGTGTGGAACACCAATGGGTAAACAAAATCAGTTATGAAAAGGAATTTGCTGGACGAACAGGGTGTACCTAGCACACCCACGTTTCTCAATGCCGCGAACCAATCTATGATTTACCCAATTCAGGCAAACTGTTAATCCCAGATGTTTGCATAACAATGGAAGTTCAGGCCTATTTACCACCTTCGTACAACATAAAAAAATACGCAAGCTTCTGCCTTTCTCTTTCATGATGACCCCCAAAACATCTAGTAGAGATAATAGGAGAAGCCACTACCAAAAACTCCAGTTCGGTCTCAAGTCTAGGTCTGCCCCGTACGGCCAAGACTTGAAAGGGCATTACCAACAAGCCCAGTCCCGACTAAGCAGATTTTATCAGATGGTTGGTGGAAGTGTTGTGCGTTGGAACATGAAACAGGGGAGCCGGCTATTTGGTCGAGGGGCCTGCCAATGAATGGCATTTATGTTTATGCAGCCCAGAGACAGCCTGAATGTGCTGTTAAGCAATATTTGGACGTGGTAATGCGGGCCAAAACAAAAGTAACCCTAAAATGCAGGACTGCAGTAACAGCATGTGGAGAGGTCGGCAGCA